TGTGTTTTCTGCTGCTCGAGCTTGCTCTTCAGCCTTGTATCTCAGCCTGCGTGTTCGGCGTGGGCTGTGCGCCCCTCGAGCACCCGCCGTCCCCTCTCGGCACGGCGCCGCGCGATGGGGCTTTACAGGGAGACGCACCTGCTCGCCGGCCGTCGGGGCTTCTGCCTGCAGGCCCTTGTCTGCTCGCACGCTCTGTGTGTGTGTCTGTGTGTGCGTGTATGTGAGAATCATGAGAATTACAGGCAGCACCCAGTTACTAGCGAAACCTCTCCTCTGGCAGGAAGCGGTCGGTGTTTTGTGCTTCGTTAGCAGGTCCGCGGTTTGTCGTTAATTGCCTCCTCGCTGATCTTTCAGCAGTTGTTCGAGCCAAACGCGTTGCTGTTACTTCAGCGTAGAAGTAGTTCAAGGAATCATTTCAGCCTGGCTGTTTCAGAGTGGATGTTTAGTCGCCGTTCGGTTACGGTGACTTGTAAGTACTGACGGGCAGTTACTTCCTACGTGGTTTTACTGTAGAACAGAGCATGAACAGGTGAGCGGTTGTAACTTGGGCAGGTCTGTGCCTGGAAATGCCGGGAGTCTGGGCAGCTGTATCCGTGGACATTCCCCTAGTTCAGAGAAGTTGAACAACTTTTTTTTTTTTTTTTTTTAAACACTTCTGTTGTTGATTTTGATTGAGGATATAGTTTCTAAACAGAAAACTTGTCTGAACAGATTTTCTACTCCCATTATCTTCCCAAAGTCTTCGGAAGGAACACCAAACAAGTCAGAAGCTTGCGTTTGTCTTAAAACGTAGCTTAAATCGCTCTGTGAGTAGCAGGAAAGAGGATTTATTCAAAAGCAAAATCAGAAAAGTTGTTACTGGACCGAAAGCGCTACATGTCGTTTCCCCCAAGGGCCAGAAGAGGGTTTTAGTGTCAGCTCTTGAATCTGGTGCCTCTGCACGGCGAGCCGTGGGTGACTTTTGCAGGGTAATGGCAGGAGAGGAGCGCGAGGGATTGCGGCCCTTGATCTGAGTGGTAGAAGCAAGGACGAGGAGGATGAATTGCTTTGCGTGCTCCGAGCTGGGAGTTGTAGGTGGAAGGTGAGAAGAAGAAATACTGGTACCTGGTGACTGCTGACGAGTGCAGTGTTCGTTTGCAGGGAATAGCTGTGCTTTGTGTTCCAGAGGCAGCTCCCTTGTAGAAGCTGAAAGGAAACGACTCCCGAGATGCTTGCTTTGTTGGGGATGGTGGTTTTAATTTGGAGTCGTCTTTTGGGACAGATGCTGAGCACTTTGTGTTCATGTTCAGACCAGTTACGCCAGTCGCAGATGCCAGTAGCCCCCTGAGCCCACAAACCCGCACGTCTGTGCCGCTGCCGGCTGGGAACCGAGCACAGAGGGTCGCTGTTGGAAATGGGATAAACGGCGGTTAGATACAAGGGAAAACGCAGCAGCAGCTGAACTCCTGTAGAAGTGAACTTGTAAAATTCTGTGGTTGGGTCTGGGGCGCTGAGGGGTCACACGAGGGGAGAGGCTTTGCCTTTCCTGCAAGCTGTACAGGCATGTAAATACGCAGTGCTGTATATTCTAGGATTATATATATGTATATAGAGGAGTCGTATATCCATTCTATATAAATAATCAGTACACATGCATAGAATACGGTTATATTTACATTTTTATAAACCTAAAGCAACATTACTTTTCCTTAGTATGAGGTTATTTACCGAGGTTTTTGTAGTAACTCACCAGTAGTTGTATGAACACCTTCCAGGACTGTACCTGTGGCGCTGTTGCTGACGTGGCTCCAGAAACTCCCTCTGCTTGTGAACGCCACGAATATCCCCGGGTTGAACACAGCTGTACACTTTTGTACTTTTATAGGTTTTTACTAACAATTGCAGACGTGGCGTTAGCCGAACGGTAGGACCGGGAGCCGCGGTTGGGAGCCTGCCCACGGGACGGGCTCGGGGAGCGCCGCGGCAGCAGCACGGGCGGTCGGCGTCCCCGTGCTCGCCCCGAGGGACTCCTGGCTTCGGGACCCGTCCCGTTCCCGGTCCCCCAGCAGCTCCTGTCGACAGGGAATGGAGGGGGCTGCGTCGCTCTGGAGGAGCTGGAGCGACACCAGCAGCTCTCTCCCAGTGGGGTTACGAATTGTTCTTGGGTAGCAAAGGCTGCTGCGCGGCGGGGTTGCGTTTGGATCGGGAAGGTGATGCTTAACCTGTCCTTCCTCTTTATTCTCAAAAAGGCAGGCATCTTTACAGATCTTTTTTTTCTTTTTTTTTTTTAACTTATTTTGTACTGCAACAGTCACTGTCTAGAAAACTCTCCTTGAAAGCCGGTGGGCGCTCTCCTGGATGCAGTCCTGTGCGACCTGCTGCAGGCGAACCTGCTTTCGCAGCGGGGGTGGGCTGGGTGGTCTCCAGAGGTCCCTTCCAGCCCCCACCGTTCTGGGCTTGTAGCTGTGAGGAGCCCTGCCGTGACAGGTACCGATTGTGTGAGGAAATTGGGCTCCCTAAGAGAAATCCAGATGGTAAAGTCAGTAGCACGTACTTTGTCCACCCCAACTCTTCAGGCCGAGTCAGGTGCGTTCTGCTGCCGTTTGGCACGAGGCTGATGGACGGACAGGCGTTTCTGTCCCGGTACAGGCTTTGTCAAAGCGCCTCTGCCAAACCGCAGGCTGGTGCCCTTGTTTCTCCTGGAGCCGTCGGTTTGCAGGTCTGATCTCTGCCAGAGATCTCTAACTGTGGCTGTTACAGCTCATGAAATTGCCTCACAACGCTCAAGCGTATCGGGACAAGGGCCTGAGGATTTCTCTGCCTGCGGTGGGACGCTCACCGACACTCCCTGCGAGTGCTTGCTTCGGACTCCCAAACTCCGTTTTTAGCAGTAGCTGCCTCCCCACCTTCCTTTCCCTTACGCCCTCAGGGCCACGGCGACAGCAGCCCGCTGCGAAACATTCCGGTTGGGTGCGTTTGCTCCGGGGTTCGGATCAGCGACGGGTCCTGGGGTCCCGTCGCGTAAATGGCCTTCGTTTCGGGGGCTTTTCAGTCCTGGGGGTGCCCCTCTCCGAGCCGGGGAAGCTCCGGCCCGAGTGTCCCTGGGGCGGGTGGGTCCCCGCGCCGGCGCTGGCCGCCCCGGGGCTCGGGCTAACGGCGCCGGGGGGAAGCTGCCCTGCGGAAGGGGAGAGCGTGGCCCTTCGGGGTGCTGCCGAACTGGGATCGCATTCCGGTATCCTGCTCAGTCGACCGCCGTATTCCTGAAGCTTTTTTTTATTCCGGACGCTGAAATGAGGCGATTTGAAATACGTTTGAGCTCCCTGTCAATGAGTAAGCTCCAAAACCCTTCAGAGCAGAGCTTTCTACCTCTGTTAGTCGCTGCATCGTTGAGTGGCTCACCCGCCTTTCTGCCGTGTGTTCCTGGGGTGCACTGGTCGACCGCCGAGCTGCCTCTTCCACTGTCCTGCAATGTGAAAGTAGCACCAGATACTCCTTTGTGCATTTCTGTGTATATGGCTTTCGTAGTTGGGATTTTCAAAGCACTGATACCCGGTGTTTTCAGTTTGTTCTCTGAGGGGATATTTTATTTGCATCTATGTTTTTAGCTATCCTGTGATAACTTGTTGAATATTAAAAAATAAAAATATTTTGCTTCTATTGGGACATTTGTATACTCGCAACTATATTTCTGTAAACAGCTGCAGTCAAGAATAAAACAATGAAAGTTTTCATTTTGCAGTGTAAAGTCTTGTTGTGTTTTTTTCAAGGGCATCTTCTCTCTGCCGGGAGAAAGGGCGGTTCTTCAGCGCGGGGTCGGCCCGTCTGGGAGCCGTGTGGCGCTGGGGTCGGGGTGTCCTGGGCGCCTGTGGTGGCATATCCCGCCAGAGCTGCTGCGTGAGGAAAGGCACGGTGTCGTGCCTGCGCTTATAAACAAGCATTGCAGCGTTTCTCTTCGACTTCCTAGTGTGAAGTCCGAAGGGACATTGGTGGTGGACTTCCCAAACCCCAGCCTGCAGGTTATAGAGCGTTCTAGGGAAGTGTTTTCATAGTCAGCCTGAAGCAGGATTCTGTCCCTGAGGGCCCTGGGGGAGATGCGAAGGTCTCCCCTAGACTGGTCTGAGGGCTGCTCTGCCTGAGGGAGGCGATGCCAGAGCTCCGGGAGTTACTGCCGCGCTAGAACTTCTGTGCCTGTCAGCACAGCCCCCCTTTAGCCGCATCTTTGGCGTAAATGAGCTGGGGTTGCTGCGGCTCAGGTGCGTGTCCCCCTTCCGGGGGGGGGATGGTGACCCCTGGCAGGACCATGGGGCTGGCAGCCAGGATCGGTAGCTTTGAGAAATGACAACAGGGGCAAGAAGAAACTGCAGTTACCCCGAGAGCTGGGGCAGAACTGCTTCCTTATGAAAGATTTCAGCAGATCTGTCTGAAAGGCTTCCCCCTGGTGCTGCCCCCAGGGCCTCCCCCTTCAGCCCTGCGCCCACCGCCCTGGGCATCGCCTGCTGCAGCGGGGCGACCGCAACCCCCTGCTGCTGCCTCCTGCCCTGCTGGAGCTGCCGGCCCTGCTGCAGACACTCCTTAACCACCCCCCCTCGTCAGCGCGTGGGACAAAGGAGAACGCCCTGAGAAACCCTCCCTCCCCAGCCTCCTCTTCCTCGCGAGGCTCAGAGCACGGATTCCTGGCACAGGCAGTCACAGAAACAAGGCTGAGCCAGGCTGCTTCGGCGTTTCGTGTTTATTAGCGACGCAGTCCCTGCCTGGGGCCGAGCAGGGCAGGCACTACCTCACCTGGCTCCCCCCGGTCCTGGCAGGCCAGCCTGGCTCAGAGCCTCCCCAAACCTGACTGTGTGTCCCCCCGCCCCCATCACGGCTGCTCTTCAGGCACCAGAGAAGTGCGGAAGGAAAAGCCCGGTGGCTGCGTTTGGAAGGGTGCTGGGAGCCGCCTCGCCCTCCCGGAGCCAGCAGCAGCAGCAACATGCAACGTCCCTCCCTCGCAGCACGGGCTGCAGGAGGCCCCGTCCCGCCCTTCACCTCCTCTTCACAAACTTCTTTGTCACGGCGTTGGGGTTCAGGCGCCTCCTGCCAGCGCCCAGGGCCGCGTCCCGGATCTGCAGATGGGCCGCGCGGCTGTAGACGTCGTTTTCTGCAAAGGGCGAGACCCCGGCGACGTAGTCGGGGTCAAAGACGTTCGTCTTCTGCCTGGCCTTGCGGGACAGCCGCTGCTGCGGGAAGGGCTGGTCTTCCACCAGGTGAGGGTTGTTGGCGTGCTTCCCTCCTTTCGGGGCCGGCAGCGGGTACTGCCAAGAGAAGAGAGGTGGTTAAACTCTGTTCAGAGGCGACTCTTGCTCAGAGGGACTTCAAGATGACAGCAGGCCTCTTGGAGAACTGAGCAAATGAAGCCCAAAGGGCCCGTGGTCAAGTGGAACAGCCGGAGGACGATCACAGCTTTGCTTTGGTTCCCACCTGGCAGCGGCTCCCTCCAACCCACCGGCCGCAGGCCAGGCGCTTGTCCCAGCAGCAGCCGCCCAGCACGTCACGTACAGCTACTCACCCTGAGCCCTCGGGGGTTCAGCACCTTGGGGTTGCGGGAGAAATGCATGTGGAGGCTCCCGTCATCGCTGACGCTCACCGCGACCTTCTTCAGGGTCTTGTTACCGCAGTTGGGACAGAAAACCTTGGTCATGTCCGAAGTGGTCCTACGAGACAGGGACAGGAAGAGTTTACAGCTCCCTGGGCCGTGGAACACAGGCTTAGCCCACCAGCAGGACCACCCGCCCAGGCCCAGCGAGCGCTGCACGCCCGTGGGCCAACGACCACACGCTCACTTGAAGCAGCCGTGGCAGCGGAGGATGTAGCTCCTGGCCTGGCGGATCAGCATGCCGTTCACCGCCAGCACGTGGAGGCCCATCTGCAGCAGCACGTTCTGCAACGAGGAGGGAGACACCGGGATACCGCGAGCTGGGGCTGCCGGGAGCTTTAACCGGGGCTCGCCAGCCCAGGCGGTGAGAGAGGCCGACAGAAGCAACGCCAACGGAGAGACCGGGCTGGTTTTTAGATCAAAGGAGCCGTCGCAAAGCCGGTCTCATCCTGTCCAGGGGACTCAGCAGTGCGCTCCTCTGCCTCGGTGCGCTGGTTTAACCAGCCCAGATGTTTGAGTAACGGGGGAATCTGCCCTCAGCCCACCCTGGCAGCCCCCCACGCTCCTGAGGCGGCAGCCGGGGCCGTGCAGGGCCGCAGCCAGCACCCACCTGCATGGCAAAGTCAGTGGTGACGCAGCCGACCTGGACATCGACGGGAGCAGTGTCACAGTGCCCTGTGTCCTGCTGGACCTGCTTGAGGTTGCTGGGTGTTATCCAACCCTCATCATCGCTCTCCTCCTCTTCCTCCGCACTGGTCCCATCCTTGGAGCTCTGGTGCTCCTCCGTGGTTGCTGGGCTAACGGAGATGGCTTGGGCTTTCTGGGGGAGAGGAGAGAGTCAGCTCTGGCACACGCAGCGCTCCCAGTGCAGGCTAGCACTGCGCAGAGGAGCTGGGGAAAGCCAGCCAGGAACCAGGGCAGAGGGACAGGGAGGAGAGGAGAGTCCGGGTCTCACCAGCAGCTCCTGCAGCTCC